GTCTAGCCAATACCAGCCCTGCCTTCCTTTTTGCCTGTGAGCTTCTTTTAAAACTAAAAAAAAAAATCATTATTTTTCTCCCTACTGCCCTGAGCAATAAGAAACTCTCCTAAGTTACCCTCATGACCACTGACAATTTGTCCCTTAACATCTTAATGTATTACATGAGCATAGCCTTCCTATCCTTTGTAAGGAAAAGATCTGAGATTTTCAAAGGAAAAGAGTGCTGCTTTTCTCAGCACTAGTTTGATATTTTTTTAAAAAAAACTATCCTGGCTGTTTCTGAATACTTTGATGTTATACAGTGCTGTAGTAGCAGTTCAGTTTCCAGAGATGGCAATATTAAAGACTAATTTTTCTTCAGTGTCCCTTAAAGTCCAATTTCTTATTCTTCCAATCAGTGAATGAATCAGGGTACCTCTTGTTTCCTTATGGCTCAGCTCCTGTGTGGATTTTTCAGCAAAAGAAATAAATCAGAACATCCTCTGACATATGTGGCTTGAAAAGAATCAGGAACTTGATGCCAAGTTGATTTGGTAACCCCAGACAGGACCTGCTTCTATCTACTATTTAAATAATTAAAGTCCAGTTGGGGAAAACCAATCAAGGTACTATGGCAATCATCCATTACAGTACATGTTTTAGCCAATGTAATTATGCTGACAATCACTCTGGCTTGCAAGGTTTGTAACTGCCCCATAAAATGAATTTACCCTACCATATGTGTTATCCATGGGTGCTCCAAAACATGGCTGTTACTATAGACATTATCAAACAACTGGCAACCCATAACAGATGCTACGTTTAACTTCACATATTGTGAATTGTATAGGAATGCCTCAAATTATTAATTAGCAACATCTGGTTCATTCAGATTCTGGTTATGCAGTTTCCTACTGGGTCGGAAAGCACCGTTGACGGCTATACTCTCAGAGCAATTTTTGCCCTTCTCATCTGCATATAATTCTAAGAGGCTGTCACAATCTCATTTTTTTTCAATTACTGTCACAGCAACAGCTATTGGGCCTTTTAACTACAAAGTATGCTGATCTTCTGGATTATAGTATTTTTCAGTTCTATCATGCATTATTATTTAAAGGCTATTTATAGAGTAAAAGCATTTAGCTTGTCTCATTTTAAACCAATACTGGTTATTTCTCTTGAACTAGTATAGCTATATCCCAATAAATAAAATCCATTTCAAAACATAAATATTATGATTAAATTTAAAGGATGAAGCTACAGTCTCTTAACCTTTTATGTGGGAGAAAGGCCTGCTGAATTCAGTGGGAATTATTTCTGAGTTGACAGGTAGAGACGTATACTGTCAAAGAAGGAACTCAGTTTCTGTATATTTTTCTGTTTAACTGCAGTATGCTGAAGGTTATTCTAACCTGCCAAAACAAACAAAGCAACAAAATCAGTCAACTTTAACTTGGCAATTGCCAGTTGTTAGATGTTGCCTGAATCCGGAAGCCCAAGTTGTTAATCTTTCCCAAGTATAATAGAGGACATAATCTCTAGCTAGTTATTCTGAAAAATTCTGAAAGAAAATAAAACCAAGATAAAATCACAGCAGAATAGCTGAACTCAAAACATTCATATTATCTTGGCCCATTTTCACTTGTGCTAACACCCATAAGGCATTTAGCATACAGTTGAAGCTCATGTCAGCAGGTCTTGTTTTTATGTCTCCCGTATTGTCCTTTGTGGCCTTAAGTATTCATTAAAAATAATTCATGTAGTACTCAATTTAAGGCAGCTTCTATAATCTGATGACTTCCAGTATATCAAACTACAACCCCATCATTCCCAGCCAGCCAATATCTCTGAAGAGTGCCAAATTGGAAAAGCTCTTTAAACTTTAGAAGGCATTGAAAACAGCCAGAAAAACAGAAGATTCTTATGGGGCAGGGAGGGGAGAACGACCTATTCTATATGACAAGTTTTTCTGGGTGGAATCAGGGTAGAATAATTGCTTGAAATACTGAACAGACTCAGTATTTCCTTACAAAGAGTGAGAATGGGTTTAAATGGACATCTGAATTCAGAGTTGGGAACATGTTTCTAAAAGCCATTCCACTCATCTTGAATGTGATGCAGAACTTGCTAAACACATAATACCCCGATTTTGGTTTGCTATGCTGGAGATTTTTCTTGATCATTGCAGCCATCGCCATAACAATTACAATTCACAGAGTTTAGGAACACAATCCTAATCTGATCAAGTTGCATGATATGGGAGAAATCTTATTAGGCCATGGAGCTTTATATATGCTACTGTCATGATAGGTACACCAGCAGAACAACTCCTTGACTGCAGTGCATTTTCCTGAAGGGCCATTAGGAAGGCAAAGAGCAGAGTTTTCAAGTCTCAGAAAAGGTTTGTAGACATATAAATTTTTTCCTTGTTGTTTTAAAATAAAAGGACTGAAAATAGAGACAATTGCAGAACAGCCAGGTATCCTGACAAGGAAAGACAGGCCTATTTTGCTGAGGAGTTATGCTTTACAATGCAGGATTTTGCAACTAAGCCCAATACCTCTCACTGGTGCAGTAAAATCTTTAGAAAGGCAAATTGTTTGATGTAACTGTTGTTGTACTAGCTTCCTTAGGAGGGATTTTTGTAGCAGGCTGCAAAAAGCAGATAGAAAGATTTACAGCACAATTCTACACATACCTCTCTCAACAGTAAGACCTTTCGGGGCAATGGGTCTTACCCAGATAAGCAGTTAATCTCAGTGAAGTGACTTTAGGACAGTTTTACAGTGTGTTAGCTAGTTAGAGAAAAGAGAAAATGTGCATAATGTCACTAGTTTTACTGTGAAAAACATAACTTTTGGTGGGATTTTTTTCTATATCACAAAAGAGGGCACAATGTATGCAAGAAACATACAAATATATATCTACATATAATTTTAAAAGCACACTTATATTTGGCACAGTTTTGTTTTTGGAGGAATGTTAAAATGTTTGACTTAAAAAAGTACAGTAAGAAGCTGAAGTTAAAAGATATTCCAATAAGGCCACATGGCAAGTTCATCAAAGTGCCGGTATTAACCAAGGAGAACTCCCAAGGCATCCTCCAAGAAAAGAATGGGCGATGCAAGCCACTTCTAAAGATCCATGTCGGTGGTGCCAGAGGAGGTCTTCAGGGGCACAGAGTCAAAACCATCAGATGTTCTCTAAAGACAATACAAAAAGGAAACGTGAATAGAACTAGAAGATTTTGTATACTTTGTCATTCAGAGTCCTATTTTTATAGGAATCAGGTCAAATGTTGCCATAATTCTTTATCTAGTAAAATGGAAAGGGCAAAGAATACAATCCTGCTCCTTATATTCACAGAACATGAGGATGGCTCCCATAAGAACTTTATGGCGAAACAAGCCTTCCCCAGTGTTTCAAGTGTACAGGGATTATATCTTCCAGAGTTCCCAGCCAGCGTGCCAAAGATCAAGCAAGCTGGGAATTCGATAAGTGCGGTTCCAACATATCAGTAGTGAGTCTAATATTTCTCTACCAGTTGCCTCCATGTTCTTCTGAACTTATTCCAACATGGGAGGAACATTCAATAGCAACTGAAGACTCTCTGATTCTTACCAGAAACTTGCTTTTGATGTTTCTTCCCCAGATGTCCACACATGATTTTGCTTCTACTGGGAGGTATCAGTGCACTGGGGGCCAAAGAAGGGTCCATTTGAGGATGCTTGCAGTAAGATACAGTTTAGCTGCTTGTGAATAGCACTGGATACTTCCCACAATCCCTTTTCTTGAGAGTGACATAATTTTTTTTTCTTAATATTTACAGGTATTGAGAATCTTAATGAAGCTGTTGCCAACCCCAAATTTTGGTATGTTTTATTTTCTAAATACTCAGCCTTTAGTTCCTATTTCTGCTGTTTTTAAATGTTCCCAGTTGCAATACTGTAATAAAAATATAAGAAGAAACAACTGCTTTAAATATAAAAAGCAGTTGTGAAAACTATTAAAAAATAGGAACTAATTAAGAATCAGTTTAGAACTGCTGAGGAGAGAAATGAACGGGAAACACTGCTTAACAGAAGTTGCTTTTGAAAGAAAAAAGAAGGTATTTGCAGACTGAGGGCTACAGTTCT